GATCAGCGAATTCATTAAAATCAATTCATCGCTGTATTTATGTAATGTGCTCATGTTACTGTAAAAGCCCGAACCATAGTAAATCTTATTTATTATTAACCGATAAATCCTATGATTTACCAACATGGGCTGGTAAATGTTAGAATTTACCAAAGTAGTTCAAGCTTTTATAGTAAAGTAAAGTTATGTAGACCGTCCTAATCGTGTTTCACTAAATATAGTCGCTTGTCTACTTATTATTGCAGTTTATCTAAAAGGGACTGTTAAATAAAATACCCCACGAACGATACATTTAATCAATCGATCAAACTTGAACCGAGTAAATTTGAAATGTAATCTGATAATCCTTCACATGGGCATAGCAATCAAATGGGACAAAACAGGATTAAAGTCCCATTGATCCTGCCAATCACCATATTCCACACGAACCAGGTAGGATACTATGAATGCACGTCGTTATTATTCCATTTTGATGGGGAAACATGTAGACAAACAAACAACCTGCCCGTTGACAAGCAGGAAATGGACCTATCTATGAGCACATGATCAATTCACCTCCGCCCGGCAAAAATCCATTTCTGTAATTATGTATGCGAGAGTCTGAATTGAAAACAGCCAGACAGGTTCGCTTGGATGTTTTATTGGTTTTAAAAAGTTCTGGCGAAGTATAGCAAGAAAGATTTTATTCCGATAATGCTTCATGGTATCCATGCGAACCTTTAATGATTACAATTAAGACATCTGATGTACGTGAAGCAATTACCTGAAACAAGCTCGAATTTGACGGAAAATTTTAATTAATACATAATTTCTCCCGAGGAGATAGGACGCTGTAATACAATTCCTATGAGGAATTTATTTACAAAAAAACAACAATATTATTTTAACATTTTTAAATGAGAAAGTAAAAATTTATGTCGGAAATGCACATTTAGGTATCTATTCCTTACTTTTGGTTCTGTTCCAAAAATTATTTCTATTCGTCTAGAGAAACCATTTCATTAGTTGAGTATTCGTAAGACTGACCAAGAATTGTCGAGTCAACTCCCTGGTCTGACTGCCGAAAAGCAAGTAAGTATTTTATTACTACACCTTTACCTACCCCTAAAAGATATTGCAGGAACCCTGTAATCTTCTTTTAAAGTTTTGCAATTAAGACCTAACTACAACAATGTAAAACGAAACTATAAAAAAGTAACTTTAAATTGAAAACGACCATTTAAAATACTTAAAGTTTGTAAAGATTTTAAAGAATAACTCTTTTTAGAAGACAATTTAAAAGCACTCTTTGTTGGCTTCCTGTCTAAGCTTTAATCATGCTCCATTACTTAATTAAAGTAACAAAAAGCGAGTCTTACAGTAATCCAGAACGTAAATACGGTATTTCAATAAAAATTGATGGGTTACTTTGGTAGGTAGTCCTACTATTGTTTTATAATTAAATGATTTTTGTTATTATGCCCTCAAAACATATGTAAGTTAAACCTCAAAACTATAAGGTAATATTCATGATGCAATCGTATGACTGCACCATGAAGAGGTACCGGAGGCCCAATCTTCGAAGCCCCAATCCTTGATCCTCAGTCCTCAATCCCCAAATCCTCAATTCTTAAAGGACCGATAAAGCACTTATAGCCCCTTTAGTGTTGTCGACATCCATAGGCGGCGGCGACTCCACCATCACATCAGGCGACCCGCGCTGTCTTTTACCGCTATAAATATACCACAGAAAAACAGTCAGTCTACGCAGAGCCCGAAAATTTTTCTTATCATTGTACATGGCGGACTATAAATTCTTCGTCTTCTTTCTAACAGTATCTCCAGCAGTTTTTTTTCAGAAGGGAGTAAAATTCCAATTTCTTAATTTGACCTAAAAACAAGCTAAATAAAACAGTTTCAACCATCTTACTGCGGTCCACGTAGGTTACCATGAAGATTAAATAAAGGGCAAGTATAACATTAAATAGCAAGAGCCTTCAAATTTTACGAACTCAAACATTTTATACTTTATGTTTGATCATTGCAATTATGTATGTAATTACCAAATGATAATTTCGAAGTACTTAATCTGCTTCCGCGCACTTGGACCGTACTTATCTTGTTTTTGATCTTTTTAATCTTCAGATGAAGATACTTTTAGGGATTGATAAATATTTATATGTGTAAGAAGCTCTCAAAACAACTTCTCAAGTATTCTGACGATTTAAAAGTTCAATGTAAGTACATTATTCTGTTACCGAAAAGAGATTTTGACTAAATTTTATAAAACTTTCGTCAAATGATTGTGATGCTTCAAGATTCCAGCATCGATTCCCAGTCAAAGTAGGCAACTTAGGCTTCTTACTTTATAATTGTCAATTTTCTAGGACTTTATTATTGCCAGTAATAAAATAGGTAGGAACTTGGTCTATATTTAAATACCGGTACATTAACCCGCCTCTTCGGGGAATGTAAAAGAGGTGAGATATTATGTATGGCCTGGCATATAACCCGATCCCACTATTAACATATCTGCTTTACGCCCCAGTACCGCAAATTTGTCCGCAAGGGTTTCCGCCCCTAAGACGACGTAATTAAATACCAATCTTATTGCCATCAACAAATCATCCTATAGGCTACATATTTCCAATTCAATACGTTCTTGATTTCATCCACTACAAACAAGTACTACGAAAATATCTGTTCATAAAACAAAATTTATATAAAAAATTCACCCATTTTTACGACATTGCCTTCAAGTTTTGCTATTCTGATAAAATCCTGTGACACTACGGTCCATAAACCGCCGTGACTCTATGTTTCCAAGAAATCACGTCGATCCATTGATGCGGAAATGAAAGAATCCCCCAAGAAGCTAGCGCAGATCGTTTTAATAGCAAAAAGGTACGAGATATTGAAGCAGTATTTAAAATACAATGGGGTCTCAGATCTACTGAGATCTACAACTGCGAACAATGGTAAAAGATAGATCTAAAAGATTTCAGTTTTTTGTTCCCACAGCAAGAACTCTTCGCGTTCCAAAAAACCACTAACTGGAAACAAATCAGTCGTTGCTTCTGTATTAATGTTTAACATTTTACAAAGAAAACTTCAAACAACTACAAACACCAATACAGTTTTATAACTTTATTAAGATTTTTTTAACTTAATATTTTTTAAGACCGAAATGTACTTGAACATCACACCTATTTGTTCTCCAGTCTAATCAGTAGTTGGACTGTCGCATGTAAACTCACGCTTAGCGTATTATATTAGGTGGAGCTCACTCCTATGGATAATCCTTATTTACTGTGTACCTATTAATTATAATTAATTCCCAACTTAGTAGAACTAATACTGGTATTAAATGTATTAACTACTTATATTTCCCAATTCTAGAACCAAACCTCAGGGTGAAGCACCTGTCATCCCACACAATATCTAAGCCTAATTAAAAAAACACCCCATCAAGTACTGTTGAAAAGAAAGATACGAGCCAAAGATAGGTACATATTATTTTCCCAGTTGAAAAAGACTATTTATTAGACGAATAGGGCTTCACACAAAGGCTCTAACTAATCAATCATCTTCGTATCAGAAAATATGAAGCGATCGCCTTATTCTTTCAATAAAACTGCGATTACATACTTGATTAACGAATCATAACGAAGATAAAATACTTTGGTCTTATTATTGTGCTCTCTGCCTTTTTTCCAGATTATAACCAATACTGGGGTTCTTTTTATATAACAAGTAACAACACAATAATATCAGAGTCAATCCCTAAGAGATGTAATATTTTTTCTGAATAGCACGTAGTTTCTTTATTACGTAGGGCTAGGATCGCTTTTAAATTGCATATCTTAAAGGCTCTCTGTTATGATTGCAGCCTCATGATAAATAGCCTGTAGCCGGCGGCCGACGTCCCCTAGTAATCCCACCAAGTTCTTGTAAGTCGAGTTCCTCTTGAATATATCCTTCTCAAATTCCCCATTTATTTCTGTTACACACCCGAATTATTTGAGCTACCTCAGGTACTTAATTTACTCATATCGTTATCGCTACTATCGCTCTTAGATAATAAGTAATGTACCAAGATTCCGAACTCGAATACTTACAAAACTCTATAACATCGTAACCAACAAATAAGTAAACCTTTTGAACAGATACTTACAATACCAGTACTTATAATTATTTTATCCGTTCGATGTTTGGAACTTCATTTACCCAGTTGTGGTTTGGAAGAATTTATTAAGTAGGTGGATTCAATCCGTTACAACAATTAATAATTAACGGCCATAACCACATCCTACAACCGACTGTCCATTAAACTATTCGAAAGATATTCAAATTACCGCACAGTATATAGATACAAGTCAAGTATGTAGCTGTAATAGATTATTTATTTATTACATCCGACGGGCCTGTGTGATTGGATTCTTCCGGATCCAGGAAATTGATTTATTTTCCAATTACAATTGTTGTTCTCTGCTCTAAGTTAGCGCCTTTCAGCCGGAACCAATTGACGAAGATTTAGGAACATAAAAACAAAACTGCGTAAAAACAGAAGTACGAAAATGTATCGCGTCATTTTAACCCCCCATACACTGATGTTATGCCAATCTCGGCTTCGGAAACCACAATAAAAATAACTCGAATAAAGCTTAGCCCGTAGAAAGTTTAGTTTTTCCTTTAACTATCCGTCCTTTTAGTTTATTAAGTTTTTAAGCACTTTTGTCGTAACTTACTTTCCCAAAGTTACTAACGCCAATAGTTTATAACAAGAAAACAAGACAAAAATACAATTCGCGAAGTCTGGAATTAAATATTATTATATTCTAATAAGATCTTACCCAATATTTTTTTCCAATTTGGAACGCTTAGGCCAAGAATGAATATCGCCAAGGCAATATCAATAAAACCATTCGCAAATAACAAATTTCCTATGTGCGAAGCCGGAACTAATACCGAATTATGATAATTCTGAAAATAAGTTATTTCTCACATAAAATGGTACATACCTGAAGAAATGCCAAACCGCAAATCCGCTTGGCCAAACTTGCTTCCCCATTTTCACAAACAAATTTATTTAAGATCAAAATAAACTTTGTCCGAACACATTGCAAGCGCGGCACGCCGAAACTGACGAGCGGTTACGAAGCGTGACACTACCGCGGCAGTCGCGTTCGTGACTGAATGCTATAGAGCAGCGGAGTCGGAGCCAGTGGATAGGGTGGCTGCCCTCGTCCCGCGCCGCGCCGCCCTCAGCGCGCCCAGCCTTCTCTAGCGTCTCCCCTCGAAGGCATTATTCTACGCCGGACACTACATTTAAGCAAAAAACAAAAATCTACTTTGGCTTTTAAGTCCCCAAAATTGCTTGCAATTACATGACTCTACCCTACTTAAAAGAAAAAAGTTAAGATATTTCTTCAAAAGGTTAGTGGGATGAAACTTGATCATAATATTTATAAGCCTCGACGTACAAAAATTTTAGCTAATGAAATTGTTGAACGTAACTTTTACAAAACTTTATTTATTTGTTAAAACATAAAAAAAATCCATTGTAACATCAATTTTAGAAAGATAAATACCCATGTATAACGATCCTAGCGCGGCACTTTCTGAATAATTAACATCAGTTTTAATAACACAATAAACCGACGGCCATTGAACAAAAGAATTATTGTAGAATGTTTTCTCCATGGATCTGGAAATTAGGAGAAGCAATATTTCTCAGGTACCTATCAGTGGAAGTAGGTTATACAACAGGAAATAATTTTCCGAGTAACTATTTGTTGTTGTATGTTTTCCTCATTCAATCAAAAGCCTCCATAAGAAAAGCTGACCGCAGTATAGATACAGTACCGACTAGCTACGTATATTTTTTATTATCTCATTAGTTCTCCCCGTCGTCTAACAATGCCCTAATCTTGCGTGTTTGCTCTCCGGCACCTAATAGATGATTTAAAAGCTCTACAATTAGCCGACGTGGTCTGTTCGGTAATAATGCTTTTAACTTTAATGTTCTGAACTAAATGTGCAATTTGTTTAAATATATATAAGTTTGACATCACATTGTTACAGTTGTTCAAAATATTATTTCTTGTAAAATAATCTGGTTCACAGAACTTTAGTCTCGCTATGGAACATTATGTTCATAGAATTGCAGCTAATATTTAAGGTTCTTCGTATTTAAGTTCACTAACCTTATCGGTTCAACCGACTAGGCTGGACTCGTTGCTATTGCAGTGGTAAGTCCCCTCATTGAGGAGAGGAGTACGCTCGGGTGTCATCACTGTGAGGACCGCCCGGAGGACACGATAGAACATACGGTGGCGGTGTGCCCCAGGGATGTGATCAGCGACGGCGACTTCTCGCGTCCGGCCCTGGATCGGGAGGCTCAACGAATTGCTGGCGCTCCGGCTCGAAGGGTCCTGCCCTGCGCGGTGGTTTTAGTCAGTAAGAGTCTGATACTCCTTCTTGCTTCACCTGGGCAGAAAAAAAAGAACCTTGTCGGTTAGTAATGTACTGGTTTATCAATTTATAGTATACCTAAACGGGCTGAGTAACGTTTCATCGTGAATGATCGACTCAAAATGATGGTGTCATATCAGTTGAACAGAAACTTTTTTACATACAATCTCTGTACGGTGAACTGTTTGCTTGGACAACCACTTTGTGGTATTTTCCACATAACAAGCCCAAAAAGCACCGAATCTATGCCTTAACACCGGCGCCAGCTAGAAATCCGAGAATCTCGAAGATGAAAACCGAGACTTCATATTTGCAGTCACACTTTTTGACGCTCAACACCAACAGGACTGGACTAGTAATTAGACAGAGTTTCAAATTATTATGACTGCTTTATTACCCCTGATTATAAAACCAACAAAAACAGGTCTCCTGTCTTCATACTATTATATGCTCACATCAAAACAAATGGAAAGTCATATTGAGATAAACAAATTTCTAATATTACAGTACCACCAGCGTCGCCTGCGTGATTAGGATAAAAAGTATCCTTTGTGTTATCCTTAACTTTAGTGTGTCCATTTTTATCCGTTCTGATGTGAGTAACAAACATCCATACAGAGTTTTGCATCATGGGTCATGTTTTGTATCTATTAAGTACACTATCATTTATATTTGTATTTCTAACATATAATATAATATATGTATATATTTATTATATAAATAATTACTTTAATATTGTATACATAATTATTATCGCGGAGAACCTAACGGGTAACCCGATCTGGATCGACGTGCAGGAGAAGAAACGGGGTGGTTTTTAGTCAGTAAGATTCTGACACTAAGACGGGAGTAGTCATTCGATGATTTTCCCCCATTAAAAAAAATAACATAATTATTGTTATATGTTAGTAAGTACCTACAAGTTTTCAAATATACCTATATTCATCATCAACAGCCTATAAATATCCACTGCTGAGCAAAACCTCTTCTCACACGGAGAAGGTTTGAGCATTAATCACCACGCTTGCTCAATGCGGGTTGGCGATTACAAACTTATAATTAGAAATATAAGCCCAGGTTTCCTCACGATGTTTTCCTTCACCGTTTGTCAGTAGTGTCTAGATAATCTTAGAAAGTACATATAACTCGAAAAAAGTCACATTGGTACTTGCCGTTGGTAGGTTTCGAACTCGCACCCTCATGCATTAGAAGCGGGCGTCTTAAACCTTCGGGCCACCACGACAGTGGTGTTTATACAATACCTATATGTATAGTGTTTATTGAATATTATGATTGTGAGATTTGTTATTTATTATACTGGTACATAGCCTATTTATAAAGGTTTAAATCACCTGCTACTTTCATCTCTGCACTACTTAAAGGTTGACTGGGAGATAATGCCCAAGTCATTAAGTCCACCTGTACTCACTTGTTGTATGAAGTTGAAAATAAATAAATAAAATATACTATCAAAATGTTATAGGAGACATTTTCGGCTATAAAAATATATGTCGTCGTATCTAGTTTATGTGTTCACGGTGGAGGTACTCATGGCTAATGACAATAGGTATCTACCTAGTTTCATGGATGATTTGGCAAATTCAATGAAATCGTTGACGCGTCCCTGATCATATCATTCGATAGTTCCACAATATTATCAGATTTCAATAAATGGGTCATTAATAAATAATATTCACAACTACTGACACTAAAAAGTGAAACGAATTATATTTTAAAGTTGCGCGTCATTAAAAATTGTGCTGTGGAATATTAATAAAACTTATTTTGTTTGACACAGATTATGTTAAATAAAAATAAATCTTAGTTTAGCAAAATTTCAGAGTTTTGAATTTGGAAGTTACCTTCAATTTCTATTTTGACAAGTACAACAACAAATATAAAATGTTTTTGAGTATCTACGTAAAAAACTAGGTCCCTTGGTTTTCGACAGGTTGCCTATAACAAATGTAGGTATATCTATATATGTAGGTATATCTACACATACGAAATACATTTCAGGCTCTATTTCCGTTCAGCAATCAATTTAATGTTACATTGTAAAAATAAATTAATACCTTATGTAAAATCTTTGTATTAAAATAATAGGATTTTTACATACATTTCAGAAGTAACGAACGCATACGCTTATACATATAAAATATTGGCTGTAGAATGTAGGGTTTCACATAACACATTTACGAAATATGGGATGAAACTGTAACTGGTAACTGTAACTGGTATTACTCCATAAACATCACCGTACGCACTGTAATTAATTGAATAACCAATATACCGGAAAATATGCACAACATTTTTATTTTGATCTACACTCTCTATGTATGACCAGTAATCCAAAATAGAAGTTACATCAATTTTGAATTTTTCCACCCCTTAAAGGGTACCCCAATGATACTAACAATTAAGCTAGACTCAACATAATACATCCTCTATCTCGGAACAAGTACAGACAATACCTACTTAAAGATTTACAATCCTTAATCCGTTATGTTTAGAGAGCCGAACCCGTCTCCGGATTCATGTCAACCCGTTAAACTAAACACACTATGCGTGCTTTATAGTGCTACGTCTCAGCCACTCAGGATAACGGCCTAATACCACTTTGTTTACAACCTACACTACTAAATTATATTACCTATTAGTCTTTAATTGGAACCCGAACTTTATTACTGATCTGCATCACAAAGGAAAACGGCCATTCGCAGCATTTGCCCTTTTTGCACAAAAGACATGTCGATATGAACGTTAATGGAATAGTTCTGTAAATAAAATTGCGAGTCCTCTATATTCTGTGGTTAATTTAGAAAATATATTTTATTTGTGAAATGGATACGCTGTGGCTCCATTTCACCGAATGGCACTGATGCTACTGTTATAAAATGTGTACAGGATTAGAACGGTCGCACGGTAAAAATTTAGCTCGGTCAATTTTTGTTATAGGTTTTTATCGGCTTCCACGCCCTCGATGCAGAATAAATCTGATATGAGGCTCTCTTTTTTACATATATTAAAATTTACAACTATACACTAACTAAGTACACGACAAGCATAAGCCCACGAGTAGAGCACTTCAGTTTTTATGTTCAGATATTCTCCCGCCCTCAGCCTCGCGTTGGTTTTCTCAAAACAACAAAAACAATTTAATAATATTTTACATAATTCTGTTTTAATTAGCAAAGCAATGTAAATAGAGTTTGTACAAACCTTCCGTTCTATCAGGAAACTTCAGATAGTCTTAGCTAGTTCGTTAGTTAAACAGTTGGACGGAGCGTTCCGCTTAGATAATAACATGATTTAAATAAATAAAAGACTTTCTGTGCATAAAATATCAGAGATTTATCAGTCTACCTTGGCCTGGATTATGTGAATTTATAGAGGTAGATAGGTACATACATGTTTAATACTCTAGAGTGTAAGCTCTGTGTAATTGTAGGTATATATATATAATATGCCTACTGCCTAGTCCAACAATAAATGTCTTGTCTAGAATTATGTTAGAAATGGCTTGCTGACATAATTCACCGCAACAGAAACAAAAATAGAAAAAATGCTAGACTTTTTTTTAGTCCTCATTCAAATTCCTAACTATTACCGACCCTTAACGGAGAACAATTGCCGAAGTAAATTCATCACTTTGTAATTCCGTGTAATAGGTTCACAGGGAACGGTACGTA